AGAAAATGAAGATTCTCATCACTGGGCCAATTGGCAGCATAATGATAAATGGTGAAGAGATTGAGACTATTAAAAATTTCTGCTTGCTTGGTTCCACATTCAACACTCTCAACTCCAGCAGTCAAAAAATCAAAAGATGAATTGCATTACGCAAATCTGTTGCCAGAGATCTCTTCATAATGCTGCAGAGCAACGAGCCATGTCAGTCTATAGACTAAGATGCATGTGATCTAAACCGTGGTCATCACAATTACTTGCTATGCATCAGAGAGCTGAACGATGACTTAGGATGATAGAAGAACTGATGCCGTTGAGTGGTGGTGTTGAAGGGGAAATGAACATACGTAGACTGCTAAGAGAGCAAACAAGTCTGTCCTGAAGAGAGTAAAGCTAAGCTGTTCCTTGGAGAGACTTTTAAGCTCTGTCTCACATAATTTGGGCATGTTGCCAGAAAGGGGCCAGGCCTTGGGGAAGGACATCATGCTTGGTAGAGGGACAGCACAGGAAAGGAAGACCCTAGATGAGATGGACTGACACAGTAATTGGCATAATGGGGGTAGATGTGTCGAAGTCAAGGAGATTAAATCAAGATAGGGCAGAATTCAGAGCTACTGTGCTTAGGGGCACTATGAGTAGCTATGAGGTGACTAGATGGCACCTAATGCCACCACCACTACCACTACCAGGTCTGTACTCTCTACCAGAATAAACTTCAGTTGCTTTTAAGTAGGCTCTGTGATGCTGATCTATGACACAGTAAATATTTAGACAACTCCATACAGAGTGTTTAAAAAGGGCAAGGGCCACATGGGGATGATCATATCTGACCTTTACCAACTTCACAAAGGAGAACTGTCTCTGTCAACAACATCAACGACATAAAACCAGTTCTCAGGAGGTCAGACATGTACCTATGCTTCTGCATCTCTTTGTACTCATACATACCAACATCAATCTTACTGCTTTACTGGGTCTAAAATCTGATGCGACAACTCACAGAACACACAGAACCATACTGGGTAAGTAAAAAAAAAAAAAAGTAAGTAAAAACCATACCATGTTCTTGTTATTTTTAAGTGCCAGCATCAAGTCTCTATTTGTTGTGACCTTATGTACAACACAACAAAATGCTGCCCAGTAAGCCATTCTCACACTCATTGCTTATGTTTGAACCAATACTGCAGTCACTGTAGCAATCCATCTCATTGATAGACTTCTTTTTTGCTCAAGTAAAAAAAAAAGGCTATAACTAAAAAAATGGCTACAACTCAGGTAACAGAATAGTTAGGATAGCTTCTGAAATGTGCTCTCAGACACCTCAGCTTTGCAGCTCTAGGCCAGTGTTACAAAGTTCTTAGTCCTGTCAATATTGACTCTCCCCCTACTCTTCCAACAAACTTGGGGAAAAGGTTCTTAGCTCTGGTTCAATGATATAGCTGCCCCAAGGTCTGCTTCATCTCATGTCACGTCTTTGGTTTCCCACTGTGGCCGGTATAACTATTGCTCCCGTAGGTCCTCAATCTGTTTGGCAAGAATCTTTGGTCCTGAAAGATATACATTGCATTCTCTTGCTGATGCTTTGCTGGTGATAAGGTTTTCTCCTATTCTCCTGCTAGATCCAACTCAATTTAATGTCGAGACTAGCCAATCCCCTGTGGATAAGCTCATGTACCCTATTCACATATTCTTACCTATCCACACGGCAAAGTTAATGAACAGGAAATAGAAAGCCATTTTGAATAATATACCCATAACATCACAACATGCCAAACAGCAAATGTCAGGATGCATTGCTTTGCCTTAATGAAAACTCTCTTTTAGAATCAAACTCATTACATTTTATTCTTCAATTTTTGCCAATATACAATTTAAACTGTCATTTGAAAAACAGTTAAGTTTGTGGCTTTAAGTAACACACTTCCTGAAGCTTAGACCCTCGAGAGGTTTACACGGTCCCAGGTCTGAAAGTTGTAACCCTAAAGCAATGTTCCAGTTTTACCCACCTTATTACCAGCCTACCTCTTCACATTCTGGTAAAAGTTAACGTTGCTAGTTAGGATCTACAACAGATTGGACAATAAATGTATGCAGCATAAAAAAATACTTGGCTTCTCTTGTTCCTTTTAAATTATCTCTTAATTATACAAAACCCTTTCAAGTAAGCTGGAAGCATGCCCTCTGATATAAGGAACGAATAAGGATTCTATTTTATACTAATCATATGATTTTATTATCACAATAAACAGCCTCAGCAAGGAACTGCTTCTCTTAGCAAATAATCTTCCCTCTCTTCCCCAAAATGAAGAGGGGGAAAATAGAGTCCAAAGATAATTTACTAGGAAATGCAAATCCTAATTCTTGGTAGAAGTCCTTCAACCAATGATAAGTAGCTCATTTTCACCACCTCTATGCAGACTGAGTAATTTAATCACTTGACAGTTGATTTTGTTCACATGAATTCAACTTGAAGAGACTACTGAGAGGATATACTGCTTAACAACAAGCAGAACATAAGTGCATTATTTTGATATGAACTGTCTCCATGCTAAAATCACTGTATATGATTTGTGTTTTGATGGAGCCTCTGCTCCAATGGAAACTACTTCATTTCCCTTGGACATGGGGAGGAGGCAACTATATGCCATATTTACCAGCATGGATGGTCTATTAAAGGTAGCTTCTAAACTCTGTAAGAATAGTTTCTTGTAAAGTTGGGAAATCACACATGATTTATAGGTACCTCTACAGTTACTTTATATACAGAAAACCATTTTGTTTATATAATATGTTGGAGTTACAACAAAATAGAATTTCCTTCTCATCTTTGTGAGTTGACCATATATACACTGGATGCAGAAGAATTTTTGCACATCTCTAGGCATGAGATATTAGTGCCCTGATTTTAAAGAGGACCTGAACTCTACAATTTGCCAAGAATAGTAACCTTTGCAAATTAATACCAAAATACTTGTGCTGTGGAAAATTGAAGTACTTGACAATGACTAAAACAGCAATATTGCACTGCTTCAAGTCATCGTTAATCACAAGTTTGGCTAAGAGAACTAGTGATACAGGATTGTCTGAAGGACATGCAGTCCACTATTTGCTTCAGGTAACATTCATCATTGTTCAGTTCTGGACCACAAAATCAAGTACTTGGATTATTCTCTTTAGCTCCTTGTTGAATCCAATTTCCTATCATACAGCCTAACTCTGAGCCTGCTTATGTATTTAAAAATGAAATTGCAAAAATGTACTATATAGGCATTGCGTACGTATTTTGGAATTTTTTGAATTTTTAAAGTGCCTGATACCTAACTTCTATTTTTTTGATCACCACTATAAAAGTTTTCTTTCAGACCCCAATACAAGGAGGGAAGTGTAATAAAAAGTCCAGAAAAGGTTTCACCTTACATGGTTTAGCTCTTCACACGTAGTGCATTCTCTATCTATGTGCTTTTCTAGCAATTAGAAGATCGTCAGAGAGTGATAGAGAAAAGACTGACACTGTCAACTATTTCACCTCATTCAAATTCACAGCAGTCAATAAATCAAAAGACGTGTTGCCTTGGAAAAGTACATTGTCAAGGACCTCTTCAAAATCCTAAGGAACAAATGATGTCTGCCTAAAGACAAAGGTGTGCTTGATTCATGTTATGGTCTTTTCTGTTACTTGCTATTCATCTGAGAGTTGAACAAAGGATAAGGATGGCTAACAAGTCATTGATGCCTTTGAGTTGTGGTGCTGGAATACTGAATATCCCAAGGACTGCCAAAAGAACAGATTTATTTTATAAAAAGTACAGTTACAGTGCTCCTTGAAGGCAATAAATGCCAAAGCTTTGTTTCAAATACTTCGGGTATGTAATCCATAGGGGTTATTCCTTGGAAATGGACATTATGCTTGAAAAGGTGAAGGTTGGTGAAGGAGAGGAAAATCTCAGTGAGATGGACACAGTGAGTGATGCAATGGGTGCAAACATGTCAGAGATGATAAGGATGGCCCAGGATGGACGGGACAAGGTTCAGATATGTAGTTCAGAGGGTTGCTGAGTCATACTCACTTTGATGGGACATGAAAACATGAAGTGAATTTTTGTTTACTGACTTTACTCATCTTTTTAACCAATTCTTATTTTTACTTCATCCTGAGCTTTGTCTTAAAAAGAAAAAAAAAATTTTCTATTATATCTGGTGATGTAGCCTATAGGTAGTTGTGCTGCTAACCATTTCTTCAGTGGCATCTTTCTGGTAGTTCAAATCCACCAGTGGGCAATCTCATTCTGTAGAATTTACAGTCTTAGAGGATGAGCTCTCAGTTCTGACTCGAAGGTAGTGAGAGTAAGAAAGAGACAGAGAGGAGAGAGAAAAAGGAGAAGAAGAGAGTTTGAGATTATATACATCTATATAAACTACCACAAGTATCAACTGGAAAGATATGAGTTCACAGGTATTTAAAAAATGATATTAAATGATTATACAACCACAATATAAAATTATTATAAAACAAGAGTTCTTCAGTTCTTTATGTAAGCTTTATTCATTTCTTTCTAGTGGAAGACAAAGGTCTTCTTTTATACTGGTTGGTCCACAGGAGTACTTAGAAGGTGGTCAGGATGCTAAGAAACCAGGGCGCTGAAGTCCAGCTCTGCAGAGAGTTCAGAGAGGGGTCATGGACTTAGTCACGGGCAGCCTCAGTACTCACCAGGCTAGAGGGGGCAGCTGGGGAAAAATCCATTTCCAGTTGTCCCCTGCAGCCCTGTGGCTTTAATTCAATGAATGTCTATTTACATGGAGTGTGAATGTTTGCCTTTCATTCTCTCCTCAAGCTAATTTGAGATTTGTCAAACCCAATTCTCTGTGACTGGATGGATGCCTTATTCTTCCTCTGGGGTGATTTTTTTACTAGTTAATTCTTACCAGGCATTTTAGGAAAGTATTAAATATCACTGGGGACAAGCAGATAATATCTAAAGAAGAAATGAAACAATATAACACCATCTCTTTGTGCAATACACTTTTATTTTCCTTTTACCTTTGCAGTCATCTTTGAATAATCATTGTGTAAACAATAGAATGGAATGAAATTACATTAAATTGTATGCAAATGGCTCTAGAACACCTTAACAATTATGACGAGGCAATTATAAAGAACTTTTTCCTTAGTAATATATATTTGCTTTTTAAAGTACATTAAAGAGCTGCCGTATCTAGGGTTAGCTAGGAAAGAGCAATGGTACCATCCCGGGAGCCCACCTCCCTGACAGTTTAGACTCCAATTTGGAAAATCCTAAGGTTTTACTAATTCCATAATATATAGTCAAGCAGAGGGCTACTCGGGTTGAAAGTATTTATTTATCCTTGAAACTCAACAGCGTTTTGTTTTACCTTTTAGTCATTGCACAAAACCCCTTCTATTATTTTTCACTCCAGCTGGGTATTCCGCAGAAGTTCAAGTAAAACTTAAGATTCTGGTATTTTCAAGTTTATCACTGTGAGAACAACAAATCCTACCACTTAAGGAGAAGCCAAATCAGAGATGGGTAGGTAGTTAACAATCTAATAGAATGGCAACATCTTATGTAGCATTCTAAATTCCAAACAAAGCAAAACTTACATATGCCACTTTATGGAGAAGACATTTTCAATCTGAGACTATTCCAGAATCAAGCAGCCTCAGGCACATTTTTAATATGAGAGTCTGCAAGGCACCTCCCACTCCCAGGAGGCAATCAGATTGTGAACTGATTTCAGGCGAATGAACCAAAAGGGTAAAGCATCCTAGTTCCTAATTTGGTCATTTCAAAAATGAGAAGTTACAAATACTCCAAAGATAGACTTGAAACTTTGTTGTTTAAATAAAGATTAACTGCAAGAAGCTTATAATCAAAAAACTTGGTTTTTTCTTATTGATAAGGTGTGTAATGCATAAATATATGAAAAATAAAATTCACAGTCAGTTTTAAAACTAGAATTCAAGTTTGGCTAATAAATCTTAATTTTATAAGTATATTAATTTCTAAATACAACATAAAAGAGGCTGTACTTTCAGACATACAATTAAAGAATTATAACAGAAAGTTTAACAATGAAAGAAGAAAATGGGCTTCTGATAGAAAATTCCTTTTGTTGCCAATAAATAGGACCACCTGAGTGTGTTTCAGATTCTTTTCACTTAAGGGACATCCAAACTGATTGCTAGGAATATTAAATAGCTTTTGGAAAAATTAGCAACAGTCGTGCAGCTGTGGCATTTGCTTGTTCTTGTACTGTGGATTGCTAGAGAAGAAAGCAGAACTCGGAGTGTTGCAAATTTGAAAACAAAATTATTATTTTTTAAATCCCATTTTTGTCTAAGCCGGCCTCTTCACAATCTTGTGATTTTGCTGGGAAGTGGGAGTGAGGGGGTGAGGGGAAGGAGGCAAGGGGAGGGAGGGCTGCGGGGTGTGTGGTGAGGAGGGGCATGACAGAAGAGGGTGACATCAGGGACAGACATCAGCTGACACTCAACTGAGCAAACCCGATCAGCTTTACTTCATCAGGGATCTCCGACCCATCACATCCAGAAGCCTGCAAAAGGAAGAAACAAACCGTCAGTGCTAGCCAGTCTCCACTGGAGTGAAAACTCAACTGTGCCGCGGCAGGAGGCCCACGCGGTTCACCTGGCAGAATTCTTGTCTTCATGCAGGAGGCTCAGATTGAAATCCCAGCCAATGCCCCTAATGGCTGGTAAGCACCACCTATCAACGGTGCTAAGTAAGTTTCAGCAGGGCTTCTAGATAGGGAGAACTAGAGACCTACTTCAGAAAATCAGCCAACAACAGCTTTATCCATGAAGAACCATGCGCCTGGCTCAGCCAGGGCAGCATTTGATGGTTGGTGTGCATGTGGTCTGCCAGAGTGAGGGGTTAGCCCTCAGGTAGTTAACCAACAAGTGCATTGTAAGGCAGCTGTAAGCTCAGCCAGTCACTACACACCTCCAGAAGGGTGCAAGAATCACTCCCATGAACGACTACTGAGACCTAATTTCTACTGTAGGAAATCTGCTTGACATGCCTCCAGAAACAGAAAAAGAATGGAAGTAATACTGCATTGTTACAGAAATAACCACATCCCACCCCCCAACCACTTCCTACCTCAACATATTTTTGTAAATATACTATGTATGCTATGTTAGCACAGGGAGCTCTGGTGGCCTATTGGGTAAGGGCTTGTGCTGCCAATTCAAAGGCAGGGCATTCAAATCCATCAGCTGTTCTGCAGTAGAAAGATGGGCAATGTCTCCCCTATGAGAGAGACAGACAGATAGAAAGAGGTATAGTGTGCATATAAAAATACCCTAGTGGAAGGCAAAGCCAGCAACCAACACACACACACACACACACACACACACACACACACACACTCTCTCTCTCTCTCTCTCTGTCTCTCTCTCTCTCTCACAATAACAAAACAAGGCCCAAAATACGACACAAGTTATTTGTGTAAAAAAGGGTATGTCATCCTTTGAAGCAAATACAGGTCAGTCTCATGGCTTTAAACTACTGATAAAAAACAAAACAATCACTCACTACCCTAAAAAACTGCTCCCCAAACCTATGACTATCAATGAACAAAGTGATATTTCTTTTAACAAGCTTTCCCCTCTTAGAAAATACTGTTTTCTCACCTCTATAGTAATTCTCTACACCAATGGCAAATCCCTATGCTAATGACATGGGTGCATTCTTCATATGTGTGAAGAGACTCTTTCTGACCATTCTGCAACAGATGTAAACTGATAGAAAACGAACCTTTTATAACACCATATAATAATGTGAAGCTAATTTTTTACACCTTAGGCAAAAAGAACTGTCTCCCGATTTAGCAGTAATGATGTTAGCTTTTTTATGAAACCAAAACTCCTTTAGGCTCCTCTTCAAACTATTCTGTTGTTCCTTCCCATTTGCTCTGAAAATTTGTGAATAAACCCTTTTGTTGCCTTTTCTTTGTTCACTCCCACAACGTATGGTCAGGAAATGAGGCACCTCGTAAAACCCTTTTTGGTTGCTCTTCTCTGTTTGCCCAAGGAATTTCCTTCAAAAGTTAAATGATGGTGGTCACATTAGTCATGGTGTACATCCCCTAATGAGAATACAGCCAAGCTCTCCACAACTGAAAGGCCAGGCCAACTAGTCAGTCAGGGATGCGGCTATTGAACAGATCTCCTGAACAAGAGAAAAGAGAGTAAAACAAAATCCTTAATATAAACCTTCCTATTTTGGAAGAGTGGAGGGACAGTGCCGAAGAGGAAGACCCTGGATGAGATGGATTGACACAGTGACTGGGGTAATGGGGGCAGGTGTGTCAGAGACAGTGAGATTGGCTCAAGATGGGGTAGGGTTCTGAGCTATTATGCATAGGGTCCCTATGAATTGCAAAAGACTCAATGGCACAAAACAACAACAACATATAAGGAATCCTCTCTAGTGGTCTCCAAGATGGTGACAGAGATTCAGTAAAGTCATAGATCATGTCTCATTTTTAACCCCCTCACTCACTGCTGTTCAGTTGGAACCAATTCATAGCTCACCCTCCATTGGGTTTCCAAGGCTATAAATCACGAGACGACTGCCACTGTTGATAGTTATGTCACCAGAGCTTCCTGTTGTTGCTATACACCATTGAGTCAGAACCGACTCACAGCTGACCTCTGGCAGGTTTTTATATGGGAGGAGACTGCCCATCTTCCTCCTATGGGGTAGGTGGTGGAGCTGAACTGGGAGCAGGCTCAAAATGTTGGCAGCACACTTCCTACCTACTAGGACACCAGAGCTCCCTAGTCTTCTACATACTGTTCTACACCCTCTATCTTTAATACTGGTTTTCAGGTGGTGGGTAGCAGACTGGAGGGAGGCATTGTGGTCCCATTTGGTCTCATGTAGGTGGATTTTTACGAGAGCACAGGACTCAAGGCTAAGTATCTTTATTTTGTGAGACAATCTAATTTAGCTAAGAGATGACTACAGGAAAAGTTTCAATTCAAAGTTTAAAAAGCATCTCAGGAGAATAGTCTCAAGGAATTCTCCAATGTCAACCATTCCTGTAAGTCTGGATTTTTTCAAGATTTTGAGGGCCCCATTATATATTATTCCCCCATTTTATCAGGAACTATTTCTCTTGGCCTTATTCAGAATGGTTGATACTGGTAGCTGATCACCACTTAGCCAGTCTCACGGATTCCGACACAGCAACCCTCATTGCTCCAGTTGCTGTATTAATCCGTATCATCGAGGTAAGGGGGCTTCCTCTACTGTGCTGTCCATCTATCCTTCCAAGCATGATGCCCTTCTCCAAGGATCAGTCATTCCTGGTCATCTGACCAAAATGATATTAAATGATTATACAACCACAGCAATGGAAATGGAATTTTTTTAAAATAAAGAGTATTATGAAAATAAGCTTAAGTCTATTGTGAAGGATTAACTATTTTTACCAAAATCATCTCTGCAAAAACGGTCATAAAAATGTGGTCACCTAGGAGGGCATGGTGGGAGAAATGTGGACAATCTCCTCTTGTGTAATTTATTCTCTCTGAAAACCCGCCAGAGGGTCAGCGATGGGTTTGTTCCAACTTGAAGGCTCACAACAACAAAAACATGATGGAATGGCTAACTTTTATACTAACACAGCTACTCACATTGAGTTTTATTTTAAGGACAATTCTTTGGTCTATGGTTAGGGCCCCAAACTGCAATTTTTCTTCCAAAACAGAATTTTGTTTGTGATAGTGTAGGATGAATTTATTGCCTTGTATTTGTCAAAATTACGTGTCGCATACTTTTTTTTTAACCTCAAGTTCTAAACTCAACTCATTGCAGTCAAATCAGTATGGACTCATATTTGACCCACTAGCAGGTTTTTAAAGGCTGTAAACTGCACAGGAAGAGACTGCCTATCTTTCTCCTGCAGAGCAGCTGGTGGACTGGAACCCCCAGAGAGGTGCTACCTTTAAGTTAGCAGTTCAACTTCATATGCACTAGGCCACCACAGTGCCTTCAAGCTCTAAAGGAACTAGAAATAACTCATTGCTTATCAAGCTGTGCACTGGTCCTAATTCTTAAAGCATTATCTTCCTTCTTAGTCATTTCCCTCCCCTTCCCTTTGTCTATATAAATACAATCCTTAGATCACCATTCCAAAATGACTCTTCATGCTATGGTATATATCAGAACTGGACATTATGTAAGTGGGGAAAAGAAAGTCTGATGAATGACTAGTGATGGGTGATTAATTACAAAAGGATCTTAGGGATCGCTTCTGGACCTAATTCCTGCTAACCTACTGTTATAACAATTAGTTTCTCATGAGAAAAAGAAAACTGCCCTTTCTGATCATCACAGGCTCATGTGTATGTAGAGTGTTCTTAGAGACAGTAAACAAAACCAGGTTCCTGCCAACGCCTGTATTTTCCTTTAAAATAAGAACATACATAAAATGAGAACACACAAACTGAGTATTTTAAAGTAACTGTTCTTAAAATAAGTCAGTGTGAGTAGTTATGTTTGTATAAGAAACCAGTAGCCTAAAGGGTAGGAATATTAGTATTAAGATAAAAAAACCCTTACTTTTGTGTCTAGTGAATGGATTTATTTAGTTTTAGTTGACAGAGAAGATATTCAGTGAAACGTCCTTTTCATTGCTTGCACTGCCAAGGGCGGTAAGATCAGAAACACTCCTCTCCTTATCACTTTGAACAAAGTGGTGTAGGTATTGAAGGCATTCCAGCTGAGATATTTTCTGGTGACTATTAGGCATACTGAGACTTTAGCTGTCACCTCCCTATTAATTTTCTCATTCCATTGTCACTGTTTCTTTACTTATTTTCCCAAGTCTTCCTGCTTTTTTCTTTCTAAAGTAATCTTTGGCTTCAACCCCTGAATGGTGTGGCAGAGATAAATGTGCAAAAACCCGGCAACTGATAAACATCTGAGGACCAACTATGCTGCTGCTGACCACAAAGAGGTCAACGCATCGCATCTCAGTCATGTCAGAAATTAGGTAATGTGAATTTTTGTAGGTTAAAATGACACCATAGTGTCTGAACTGGCTACTCACAAAATTTTAAACTGTTCCTTTGTAAAAACTAATGGAAGGGACAATTTACAAAGAGAGTGGGTGATCAAACTAGAGGCTGACGTGCACCTATCACATAGGGAACTTCTGGAGTGATCACTTTTACCCCAGACTAAATCCTCACCTCCCACAGATATCCTAAATGTTTCAGTTCCTGGAAAATATGCACTGACCAGATTGACTGGATGTTCTTTAAGTGTCAGTCATATCTCTTCCTTCCTTACTGTAAAACATGGCCAATATGCAATGGGTTCTTTTTCTCAAAAATTAGGGACCAGAGACCCACCAAAGGGCAGTTCTCAAAACACTTAAAAAATGACTAGAAAAATGACTGCCACACACAGTGACTCTCCATCATGTTTCTGAAGGTATTTCTTTTTGGGGCAATTCATTTTTCTCTCCTGGAGTGGTTGGTGAATTTGAACTGCTGAACTTTTGGTTAGAAGCACAGTATG